GGTTTAGGGGTTTAGGGTTGGGGTTTGGGTTTAGGGCTCATGGGGTTTAGAGTGCAGGGTTAAGGCTGCAGAGGCTTTGGGGCGACCCAGGGTTACCATACTTCAGTCATATGGGTGGTTGTCAAAATTAGGGTCCCTTTTTGGGTTCTTATAATGATACGGCACCTAATATTTAGGGTACCCCAAAGCGGACCCTAATTTTGACAACTACCCATATATGCCGTTAGGGTTTAGGGTTTGGGGTTTAGTGCGAAGCGGAGGAAGTAGGAATTCGCTGAGGGGCATGAGCACATGAGAAACTCCCTCCTCGACACTCAAGCGAGACATCACAACTCAAAGACTAAGGATTTGAATCCCTAAAAACCCTAAACCCTAAATTAAAGATCTGAATCCCTAAATCGTTTAAATCCCTAAACCCTAAAGCCCTAAATTAAAGATCTGAATCCCTAAATCGTCCACAGCTGCCGCAGCTTTCCTCAGGGACGTCTCTCGGGCAAAAGCCTCGAGAGTGGATGGATTTCTCTGAGGAGCAACCAACTCCGAGAGCTAAGCATCTAGAGGGGGCCCCCATACCCTAAACCCTAAACCCTAAACCCTCAGGAGATGGCTACTTCAAGTCTTATAGAACCCCAAACCCCGACCGACCCCGACAGGAACCCTTTCGGAAAGTAATTCTTAAGTATAAGTATAGAGAATAGCCCTTCTAAAGGAACCCTTGAAAGGAACCCTAGTCGAATTACAAGCAAGGACTTCAAGACCAACCCGAAGCTTGAACGACCCGAAGCAGTCTAAACTACTTCAGCCGACTCGCGAAGGCTTTTCTGAGGTTAATTAGGGTTTAGGGTTTAGGGTTTAGGGTGTTTGGGTTTTCGGGTTTGGGGCTTAGGTTACGGTTTAGGTTTTGGAGCGTTTGGGGGTTCCCGCTGTGTGCCCGGGCACTAACTGTTCTACGGCGCAGGCCCTAACCCACCATTCCGCAGCCCTCCGAGGTTCGAGCCTGGCAAGGTTTAGGGTTTAGGGTTTAGGGTTTAGGGTTTAGGGTTTAGGGTTTAGGGTTTAGGGTTACGGTTGATGAGATAAATCCTGCATGACCCATAATCAGGAATGTACCAGAATTAGGAATATACAAGACTGAGGAATACACCATACTTCCCATAGTTTCGGGTCCTGAAGGTAATGCAGGGTTCAGATCATCAACAGTGGGGGCATTCAGAGCACTTCGCTAGGACATTAGGACTTTAGCTTGCTGGGTTCATAGTAAGGGGTCTACACAAACTGTATTTATAAAAAGTTTCTAGAAGTTGTAGGAGGCGTTTCCACGGCAATCAGAATTGGCTTTTGGGGATACTAGTATAGTATGTGCGAGCTAGGGACTATGAGGGGCTGCTATTGTTCAATAGTCCCGCCCCTATAGGTATACAGCTTCTGGATGGGTAGTTCTCTAAATCCGCCTTTGGGTCCTTTTCTATAAGGGTGCCGTACTATATTGGGGACCAAAAAAAGAGTCTAATTTAGAGAAGTACCCATACTCCAAAGGTCGGCTAAACTGTTCCGAGCTGAAGGGCTTGCGACTACGGCGACTAGCATTGCTACTGCGATCACTTTGCTGTTGCTTTCCAGGATGATTGTCAGTATAGGTTGACCCAATAGCTCTTGAAATCCTCGACCCAGGACCGTAAATCTAAACCTTAAACCCTAAATCATAAACCGAAGCTGGGAGACACGGAGAAGGATGGATCACTCAACACCCCCGGCTCCGCTTGGTTGCTGGTGGCATTCCGAAGTGCCTCTGAATTGAGGCAGACGGTTTAGGGTTTAGGGCTCAGGCAACCTACCTGTCCAGAAAGTGAGCTCCAGTTTCCGTGGCACTCTGCCTGTTACTGGAGACTGCGGACATGCGATTTTCGGATTCCGACACACTGCCAGAATCTCGAAATAATCCCAAACTTAAAACCTGTATTTCGAGACACGTCTGGACCTGTGAGCCAGTCCTTGCAGACAATTTCCAGGCGTGGTAGTGTCGAAGTCTCTGGAAGTAGTTTGTGGGGATGCGCATGTAGCGTCATTTGTAAACTTGCTGCATGAAGCAAGCACCTGCACGCAGGCTCCCGGGATTATAAAGCAGTTTGTATAAGAGTATGTTGTTGGGACCCACAGAAGAACGTAAACTAAAGCATTGAAACCTACACCCTTACAGGGAGAGCACTTGCGACAGTATTTAGGTGCGGTTTGGCGCTGCTTTGAAAGAGGGTGGCAGTGAAAATGCTGGCATTCTGTACATGGGTAGTTCTCTAAACCAGGGTCACTTATGGGGTCCTTTTTATAAGGGTGCCGTACAATAATGGGGACCTAAAAGGGACCCTAATTTAGAGAACTACCCACATAAGGGCTCCCTGGAGTTGCTCAGCGAGGAGCCTCTAAACTGCAATTCCCGCGGCCTGGACGCAAAGTCCATGCCTTATTGTTTAGGGTTTAGGGTTTAGGGTTTAGGGTTTAGGATTATGCATGTTCCATCAATAGTCTACCAAGAGGGTCCACATATGGTACTATTATGGAATTAGGTCCCCAAAACCATACTAGGGATGGTCTTTTGGGACCTAATTCCATAATGGTAGTGTATATGGACCCTCTGGGCTACTATACAAAAGTTCAAGGTCCTCTATTGTACTCTACTAGAAGGAGTTGTGCTAAGTTACAGGTGGGGTACTATGTTGTGCAATGTTGTAGTAGACCATTAACATGTTATGCTGTATCATATGCAAAAATGCGCTTGCTATGCCATTACCCATAATGAGGAATATATATATATATACCATAGTTCCCATAGTTTAGGGTCCGTTAGGTATGCAGGGTTTGTACCATCAACAGTATGTAAGGCTTTTGGGCTCTTTTGAGCCTTTGGGTTTAGGAAACCTACACCCTAAACCCTAAACTTTAAACCGTTAGAGGCAGGACGGTATCCTTCCGGTTCAGACCACGAGCAGTTACAAATGTGCACTCGGCTCAGGGTTGAGAAACCCTAAACCCCAAACCCTTAGCCCTTATTTGGTGTTTAGGGTTCAGGGCTTTTTTAGATACAGGGCTTCGGGGCTATATGGGTTTAGGGTTTAGGTTTAGGGCCAACAGGTTCTCCAGCGCAGCTTTACAGAGCAGGCGCCCTTAACACTTATACCCTCAGGGAAGCGTTCTCTGTGCTAGGGAGGCTGGTGCTTAAGCTTCTTGCCTCTTTTTTATACCCTAAACCCTAAACCCCTAAACCC